CATACACCCACGTCTTCAAAACAGTGATGTGAGTATTATTAGTTCATGGCATTCAGTTGCATTCACAGTTTTTCATTCTGAAAGATTTCCCAATGACTGAATAGAATTATGTGAAATGGACCCCAATAAATATCCTCAAAAAGAGGTTGAGTTAGGACCATTTGCTTTATTCTGTCATACTGTTCTGTTTTTCAATAAACAAGTTTCAGGAAAGTTATAGAAACTTGGCTTGAAGGATGATGATTCAAGTTTTTTAAATCCTCCTTTAATTTAAAGATTGTATGTTTTTGACAAAAATATACAATATATGATCCTTAAGTCAAGAATCAGCCTCAGATATGTATTTTATAAAAGTATAACAGCACTTTAAAAAAAGAATTAGTACAATCTATGTGTCTAGGTTAAGTACCTACCTAAAAGCTAGAGGTTAAGGTAACTGATTTCAGGGCTGTTGAGACATATTAGACCCACTCATCTTTAAGGTACTTCAGTTCACTGAATTTTGCAGACATTATGTGGACATAAGTCTCACCACAGCAATTTGATCATGTCGTGACATCAATACGACCATTGTAGCACTTTTTTCCTTTTCTTTTTAAAAAATCTGTCAAGAATGTGTGTTACTAGTATGTTATTACTCTATTGTAGCTGTTATTTAGCTCTAACATTTTATATACAGAGAAGTTCAGGGTGGACTCTGTGACTTCAGTGTGTTGGGTTACTGAGGCTTCAAAACAAGCCTGAAACAAATTTAATCTTTTAGAGAGATTAGACTTTCACTTGGAAAACTTTTTCTCCCCAAGATCACCTAAACCCACAGACTTGCTAACTCAATGCTCTTTTAATCTAAGACACCATGATAAAAAATAAAGCACATTTAATCTCCAGCACTTTGCTGCTGTTTACCATATCATATTTAAGGGTAATTCCTAAAGTTGACATATATTTTGTTAATCTGACATTGCATTTTAAGATTTCAAGACTTTTCACATTTCAGCCTGGCATAATTTATAAAAACATAAATTAAACAGGTTGCCTACTGTTCTTAACATGACTGTAGCATTGCCTTGATGGTAAGGTCAAAGACTAGTTGGTTTCAGATTAGATTCAGATTTTATTGCTGTCCTTTGCAGAATGGTCTGACATTTCAAAGAATCCAACAATAAGAACAGAACCACCTCAAAATATTATTGTTACACTAGGGCGTTTCTCTTGTTTGCCCTTTCCATAGACCACCCACTTACACACTCCAAAATTAGCTCCAGTTTAGCACCATCTACTTTATTCTACTTCCCCTTGTTCTGGCAAGGCTTTGAACAATGAATATAGGGGCTTTAGACTTGTCAGCCATTGTTTTCACTTTAAGACAGTTCAATAGAATGAATGTTTTTCTTATATCCATTAAAAAAAACAACTTTTAAGAGAGGTCTTTCATCTTTGCAATATTTGCTTGACTACCAACATACAGACATGATTTATCACTGTACATTATAATTTTTATACCATTTTATGGAAATAATTAGGAACACTAGTATCAAAATCATATTAGATAGACCTTACCTGTCAATATTACAAAATTACCATTTTCACCCATGAAGTTTACGTTTGTGATCAGTCTGGTTTTTAAACTTCATAAATAATTTCAACAGTTGATACCCCAGATAACAAGAGAATCCCTGAAGGAGGGATACATGGAGAAAACTGGCCCAACGGTCAGTTCAAGTGAATTTATTAATCATGTTATTCCTGCATATTTACTCTAGGTTTATGTGCCGGATTGTGTGGTCTGATTGGTGTTTGTGTTTTCAGCAACGGGAGCCATTCAAGAAGAGGTGGTTCACGCTGTGCTTTATGAACAGGAAGCTTCTGTATTATAAATCTCCACTGGTAATAAAAAGAGAATTCACATTTACATGAAAAGTCATTACTGCAGTTCATTAATGATGCAAGGTTATACTAGCAGTATCTATCTATCTATCTATCTATCTATCTATCTATCTATCTATCTAT